TGCTCAGGCAGGAACCCTACACCATTTCAGACAAATGGCTGTCCAGTCTCTTCTTAAAAACTTCCAGTGTTGGAGCATTCACCGCTTCTGGAGGCAGGTTGTTCCACTGGTTAATTGTTCTAACTGTCAGGAAGTTTCTCCTTAGTTCTAGGTTGCTTCTCTCCTTGATTAGTTTCCACCCGTTGCTTCTTGTCCTGCCCTCAGGCACCTTGGAGAATAGCTTGACTCCCTCTTCTTTGTGGCAGCCCCTGAGATATTGGAACGCTGCTATCATGTCCCCCCTCATCCTTCTCTTCGTTAAACTAGACATACCCAATTCCAGCAACCGTTCCTTATATGTTTTAGCCTCCAGTCCCCTAATCATCTTTGTTGCTGTTCTCTGTACTCTTTCTAGAGTCTCAGCATCTTTTTTACATCGTGGTGACCAAAACTGGATGCAGTATTCCAAGTGTGGCCTTACTAAGGCATTGTAAAGTGGTATTAATACTTCACGTGATCTTGATTCTATCCCTCTGTTAATGCAGCCTAGCACTGTGTTGGCTTTTTTGGCAGCTGCAGCACACTGCTGGTTCATATTTAAGTGATTGTCCACTAGGACTCCGAGATCCCTCTCACAGTTACTACTATTGAGCCAAGGTACCCCCTATACTATACCTGTACATTTGGTTTTTCTTGCCTAATGTACATATAGTACACCTATAACTCAAGCCTTTGCAATCCATCAGAGAAATTTGTAAAATAATAGATGATTCAGAATTCAAAGTCTTAGATGTTCTGAACAGAGATATAAAAAGTCCCCTGTTTTGTTAATGAAAGTTTATGCTACTGTTTAGACTAAACAGTCTATCTAGCTTTCTTGGCTTTCATCAGGCAATGTTCTACATTTTAAAAAATCATTTCTTTAAGCAATAAAGATGAAAAATCACCTTGTCCATTCATTAGTTGGTACAGAAACTACTAAAGATGACATTCAACACATGTTTTTTGAATGTAAAAGCAGAGGTCCTCATTTTTGTTGCTAGAATTGGCTTAACTATTCCCATATTATTAAGGATTATTTTTATCAGTTTCTAACTTCATTTTTAATATGTAAGATTTAGTTACGTTATAGCCAGAAGAAAACTACAAGGAACTTTAGACAATTTTTGAGGGAGAATGAGCAATTTAGAAATGTGATTGATTGATTGATTGATTGATTGATTGATTGATTGATTGATTGATTGATTGATAAAGTGAAAAGCTGTTTATTCCATGAGTAGACAAAATATCTGGATCACCAGGAATAACATGGGAAATATTTTTTTAAAAACTACCACTTTAATACATCGTGTTAAGCCCTGAGTTATTATAGGCATGGATCATTGAACAAATTCAAGTCAATTTTTTAGACAAGCAGTTTAATTGTGGCTTGTTTAGCCAATTCCTTGTCTGCTTTTTCTCCTTTTTAACTCTTTTTTGTGTGGTTACAAAACAAATCAAAATAAAGTCAGGAAACCATCAAAAGAAACTATTGCCTTTCTCACATCACACAAAGAATTATAACTAATAAGCTAGTAACGAACTGTGGATTCAAGCATAAGGGTTTATTGCTGTAAATCTAATCCACTCGTTCTTGTTTCTCAAATGCAATTTCCCTGTTTCCAATAGAACAACAGTTCAGATCAACGGATATCTCTTGACATTGATCTGTGGGACAAATTCAGTGAATTGTCCACAAAGTGCATCATCAAGACGGTTGAATTTGCCAAGCAGTTGCCAGGTTTTACCACGCTCACAATTGCTGACCAGATCACACTCCTCAAAGCTGCCTGCCTTGACATCTTGGTAAGTAGGTAGTCCTTTTTCTTTTCAAATAAAGCTCAGCAATAAAAAAATGAGGAAATGTATAGAATTATGGAGTGAGAGGAGTTAATTAGCACACAAGCCATACTTTCACAGGATCAGCCCAAGGCTAAAGAAGAAAGATATGGTGGTAGGTGATAGGTCTCCATTTCTTATATATAATCATTATTTGGAGAGCCAATTTGGTCTAGTGGGCAAGGCACTAGATTAGAAATCAAGACATTGATTTGAGTTATAGCCCGCCTTCAGCATGAAAACTGGCTAGGTAGCTGTGGGCCAGTCACTTTTCTCATAACCAATGGATCAATATTTGGTTGATAAAAAAGCACAGCCTGCACTTGCAAAAAACTGTTAGGAAGAAACAAAAAGTGCTGTCCATCATAATTATGGTGATAAGCTCAGGACAGGTGTTGGGTCATACAGTACACAACAATGTCCAGCAGAACAGAGTGGCCAGGATGTTAAGAGTATTGTATAAAAGGTAGCTATAGTGTCTTCCCAGGGATCTGCCACCTGAAACAAATGACCTACTCTGTTTAACAATATACAAGTCCTGCAGCTGAACTTTGCAGTAATATATTACACACTAAATGTGATCAATGTTATAGGTAGAACATAGAAAGGATGGGGAACAACTGTAATGCATACCTCTAACATACTTTCCATCACAGATCCTTCGGATATGCACACGCTACACACCAGAGCAGGACACCATGACCTTTTCTGATGGCCTGACCCTCAACCGCACTCAGATGCATAATGCAGGCTTTGGACCCCTCACAGACCTGGTCTTTGCCTTTGCCAACCAGCTGCTGCCACTTGAGATGGATGATGCTGAAACAGGACTCCTCAGCGCCATCTGCCTTATATGTGGAGGTGAGTGCCATTACTGGGCCAATAAATAATAAATAACATCAAGATTAAGTTTTGGACATTTGCATATTTTCAGGGCTTGCCTATGGAATGCACAGAGGCATTGACCCTTACCTGCCAAAGGCAGAGAGCAAGCTATACATGCATATGCAGCTATGTACCTTGATTTCAGACAAGAAAAATGTACATTGGATAGCAGTCTGATGATAAGTGTCATAATACCTTCTCGGATCTACTGTTTCTATGTGTAGCAGCTCCTGAATAAATATGAAAACTCTGTAAACTCCACCCACTGTCACAATTGACCCAGAACTAATTTTAGGTAGTTCCTAATAGTATTAATATTCAGTTTTATTCCTTTTTCTTGTTTTTGTGTCTGGAACTCTTTGGAATTCTCTTCCACCATGCCACTGTTGCTACAAAATGCAGTGGTGTTAATATATACAATCTAGGCTTCTTAATATGTTGTCTCTTACATTAGCATTTCTCATTTTCATGCTGTCTGGAGAATTCTGAAAGTTGAAGTTCACACTTCTTAAAGTTCTGATGTTGCAAAACATAGGCTTGCATGATGTTTGCCTACTGTACTTGGGTATGAAAGGAGTAGTCCAACAGTAAGGAACACATTAAGTTAGGGAAGAATGAGATATGCATTCTAAACAGCCAAGTACAGTTATACCTTGGTACTCGACTGTTTTGAAACTCATCAAATTTGGTACTCAACGCATGGCTCAACTACATTCTCTTTTCTCTTACGAGAAAAGTTTGTTCGGTACTGATCATTGTTGGTACTCATCGAACCGCCTGGAGCCAATGATGAGAACCAATGTAGCTAGTTCTCATTGGGAAAGAAAGTTTGTGAGCTTTCTTATTTTGAAGTAAGGGATTTCATGGTTCCTGCATTATAATCTTTGCTGGTTACAAAAAAAATGAATTTTCAGTCATATAAACCTCTAACCACAATCTACATTCCAAAGTACCATGCCATCTCTTTGAAGTTTATTTTTATTTATTTATTTATTTATTTATTAATCCAAATTTCTAATTGTTTCTTTCAATGCAGACCTTCAATCAAAATAATGCATGGGAAGAAAAAATGACAGATTAAAAAAGAGTAATAGATAGATAAATGTCAGACCAATATATACTGACCTTTTAAAAAGAAAAAAAAATCAATCAGCAAAATTGTTAAAGACAAATAATAATAGTAGAAACAAAGCCTATTAAGAAGGTAACAGCAAAACAAATGACCAAAAGTGTATATGTATGATTTATTATTTAAATTTATTATGGCCACCCAACTCCCAATGTAGTGTAGGCTTGCAATTCAGATTAGAACATAGAACATAGAATCATACGGCTGGCAGGGACCTTGGAAGTCTTTCAAGTCCAACCCCCTGCTTAAGGCAGGAGATCTTATACCACCCCATCAAATGGTTGTCTTGCTATTTTTGAAATCTCCAATGATGGCACACCCACATCTCCAGGAGATAAGCATTGATTAATTGTTCTCACTGTCAAAAAATTTCTCCTTACTTCTGACAGAATAACAGAGTTGGAAGTTCTTCTAGTCCAATTCCCTCTTCAGCCAGCAAGCTGTATATCTCTTCAGACAAGTGGTTGTCCAATCTTTTCTTAACAACTTCCAGTATTGGAACAGTCAATTAGTTCCATTGATTAACTGTTGTAACTGTCATGAAATTTCTCCTTAGTTCTAGATTGTTTCTCTCCTTGATTAGCTTCCATCCATTGCTTCTTGTCCTGCCTTCAGGTGCCTTGGAGAATAGATTGACCCCCTGCTCTCAGCTTAAAAGTCTCAATTTTATTTTTTTTAATCCCATTGTCTTCTTGCCTTATTTGATATTTCTATTCAACACTTCAAGAACCAAAATAAACAACAAAAGACAAAAGCCTTGGCTCCTTCTAAATATCACATGGTTCAACCATAATTGGAGCCTTCTGAGGCATATGTATCAACTTGAATCCTTGAATAAAGTTCTCGCCAAAGTTCATATCTTCCAGAATTTTAATTTTAAAAAAGGCCAATTCAAATTATTAAAATTTTTCTCTGCATCTAGGATTAATGTGGCTTGTTTTACGTTATGTTGTAAGATTCTTACATCCAATACAGTTCTCATATTATCTTTTAATTATATTTTAGATAAAAACCCACATTGAATAAAGTGAATAAAATCTTGTAAAACATTTTAAATCTACAGGCTATATAATTAATGTGAATAGTTTACAATTATTCAGTAAGGTAATTGGTCTGTAATTTTTAGTAGAGGTTAAGTCTTGTCCTTCCTTTGGTAACAAAATTGGATTATTTCCAGGATTCTGGAACAGCATCTCCCTGAAAATAGATATCTTTCTCTTTTAAGGGTTCATTAACTCCAAACAACCACAATTTTCTCTGACTCTTTCTTTTTCAAGACCCATTTTTCCCTTGTTTTGTGATTTCATCCTCATTCATTCTCTGTATCATCAGACTGCTTATCCATACGTTTTTCATACTGTTCATTTAGCTTCTGTATTCAATCTGGATTAATTACCCCATCTTTTTAAAATAATTGATTTCCATTGTATGCAATTTACGTTTATGTTTCTTCTGAGATATCCAACTCTTGCTTTCATGTAACAATGTGGGAAGAAGCAGTTTGATATTGTCATGTACTGGATTATAATTTGTGACTGTCACCAGCCAATGGATTCCTGCTTTCTTGCACACCAGTTTGCTTTTTCTGACATATATTTTAGTCCTTTTATTTCTAAATTGCCCGCAGCTTCACTTCTCTACATGTGTTCATCAACTCCTCAAGATTAATCAGCTCTGCTCCACAAGATCAAACAACGTTCAGTCATATCTATTACAACCTTCTCCTTTATTTTACATCTATTTTTCTTCCTTAATTCATTTTATTTTTTTTAGTTTATGGTATTTACTACTGTGTTTCCCCGAAAATTAGACCCAACTGGAAAATAAGCCCTAATATGCCTTTTGGAGCAAAAATTAATATAAGACCTGGCCTTATTTTGGGGAAAACATGGTACATTCTAAATCACGATTTCCATGTGACATTCAATTATCAATCAAATCTTTATTACGACCATGGACTAACATTAGAAGGATGGAACACAATATTTTTAAAAATTAAAAAAAACCCATAAAATATAGTTAGTTAAGATGGATTTTGTATTATGATATATTTACTTAGCCATATATTAAGTTTTGTGGGGGGGGTTGTGTTTGCTTAGTGCTTTTAAACTTTTTAATAGATTTTTTAAACAATATTTTTGTTTTTATATTTTTTAATTTTAAAAATCTTTTTTTAATTATTTTTTTAGCTTTTAAAATTATTATTTGTATTTCACCCTTCTTATGCTAGCTTATGACCGTAATAAAGATTTGATTGATTATCCATATGACACAGTCATGATCAAATAAATCCATAGACCTTATGGCTTTGATCACTTTCAGTTTTTACAAATTATTTTTCAGTAGAATAGTGGGTAGATTTGATTACCAGCCTTGGTGGTACCTTTGTTACATACCACATTCTCTATTAATGGTAAGGACAATAATGGTCACTTTTTGCATATCTTGGCAAATATGGGACAAGGGTAGCCAGAACCCTGTTTTATTCTCAGGATGTTCACACTATTCTGTGCATGCTAGGATCTAGAAATTTTCTTGCAAGCCAATACATATTGCCTGCATTGCACCAACCAGGGGGTATATGTAGTGCCTTGATATGCAGAGTTATTCTAATACGCAATTCCTATGATTTATTTGCTTACTAAAGTCACAATTGTATGTTAGAGAGTAATAGATACAGCTTTTTACTTGTACTCATTGTATGTGTACATTTCTAGAAAGAAAGGGAGGCCAAAAGTAATTGCACTGTATCCTGACCAATAGCACCACCAGGTGGTTAGAACTAAAATAAATCTGTAATGATAATTGGTATTTTTAAAGCTTTTGATAAATGAGATACGATGTGGGAAATGCCTGGATTCATTTATTCTAATTCATTCAAATATTAATACTATTGACTGAAAAGGTAGAGGAAATGTGTTCATAATATCATGTGTTCATCTCAAACTGAAGCGTGCGTTCGAATGGTGCGGGAGTATGGACGAATTTCCAGAAAAAAATGCAGACTACAGGAACCATTTGCACTTCGGTTTAAGATGCAGACAACATAGACTCATCCCCAATTGCCTGCATCTGTCTTCAGCGGTGAAGGGACACAGGGCAGAAAACATCCTGAAGATAAACCTCAAAATGGTCTCAACGGCTCTCTAAAAGAATGCAAATGACCAGCTGTCTGCAAGGAATACAACTCTTTCCATTCCCCACCATCCAATCAGAGCTGAAGAAGCTTCTTGGATGAGAAGTGAAATGTCTTCAAAGAAAAACAAGAAAGTCCAGTTGCCTCGTGAAAAAGCACCTTTGGGACTTTGCTTAATGGCAATTCTTTCAGTTTTAATAGTAGTACTTATGATCAATCCTCAAAATTCCAGTCATCGTAAAGTCCCCACAATCACGTGATCACAGGTGTTTCGCAACCAATATGCACATAACGACAGTTGCAGTGTTCCATGGCCATGCTATCACTTTTTAAGATCTTCCCTGCTGGCTTCCCATAAGCAAGGTCAATATTGGGGAAAGTTGCAAGTAGCTCTGGAAAATCCCTCCTTCCTCCTGCATGCACGCTGCAGTACCCCGTTTCCACCAACTCGTGCATGGCTTGTGCTGGCCCTCCAAGACCTATCCTTACTTCCCCCATGCCCCTCAGTACTGCCATGCTCTTTCCATGGGATTCCCACCCCTTCTCATTAAGCAAACATTACATGTTTTGGTGTTATGATGGCAACCAGGTTTATCAGGATTGTCATTGCTAAGCGATGCACTCATGTGGCAATGCGCTTTAAGATTAAGATAAGATAAGATAACCTTTATTGTCATTTTTTACTGTGGGCACAATGACACACATCAAAAATGAAATTTAGTTGCCTGCTCTCAAAGTGAACACATACATGACACACACCTAAACATATTATATACAACATATACATACTATATACAACATATGTATAGACCTACACCCCTAGATATACATAACATATGAATATTAAACATTGTTCACCTTGAATATATAACAGAAGGAGGAAGCTTGAAAGTTCACAAGGTTTATATTGTATGGAATGAAACTGTGGCTGAATCTGAATGTTCTGCTTCGGATACCACAGAGCCTCCTCCCAGAAAAGGTAACAAGGAAAACAGGTTGTGAAGAGGATGTGTAGTGTCCCAGACAATTTTACGGACCTTGCTCAAGCAACGCTTCTGTGCTATGTCCTGGATGGGAGGGAGGGAACTGCCAATGATCTTTTCAGCCATCCTCACCACTTTCTGCACCATCTTCCTGTCTGAAGCAGTGATGCTTCCAAACCAGACTCTGATGCTGTATGACAGGATGCTCTCGATCATCCCCCTGTAGAAAGTGGTAAGGATAGGGGAAGGAAGATGTGCTTTTCTCATACAACGCAGAAAATGCAGGTGCTGCTGTGGCCGCTTTACCAGTGTCTCGCTGTTGAGCGACCAAGCCAGCCTACATATTAACTGCACACCCAGGAATTTGATGCTGGTAACCATTTCCCCAGGTGAATCATTAATGCACAGAGAAATGTGGCTGTGCCTGCCTTTTCTGAAATCGACAATGATCTCTTTGGTTTTTCTAGCATTTAAAACTAGGCTGTCCTCCTTACATCAGTTCACCAACCCCTCAACCTCCTTGCGGTAAGCATCCTCATTGTCATCATTAATAAGGCCCACTACTGTTATATCATCTGCGAACTTCACAAACCTAGCATAACATGGGTCAATAGGGTGAACAGCAGAGGACTTAGGACGCAGCCCTGAGGAGAACTTGTGCTCAAGAAAATGGTGTTAGAGGTATTTGTTCCAACTCACACATATTGGGGGCTGTTGGTAAGAAAATCAAGAATCCAGTTGCAGAAAGGAGTGTTTAAGCCTAAAAGGCCCAGTTTGTCTACTAGATGCTGGGGAATGATTGTGTTAAATGCTGAACTGAAGTCGACAAACAACAAACGCGCATGAGTATTTCTTTCCTCTAAGTGCTTCAAGCTCAGATGGAGAAGGAAGAAATAGCATCCTCCCTAGATCGATTTGGTCGGTAAGTAAACTGAAGTGGGTCAAATGCTGGTGAGAAACTAGATACAATAATATCCTTTATCAGCTTCTCAAAGCATTTCATAATGATGGATGTCAGTGCAACCAGACGGTAATTGAGGCCTGTAATTGTGGACTTTTTTGGCACTGGCAAGATGATGGCCGTCTTAAAACACAATGAGAGATTGAAAATATCTGTGAGAACACAAGCCAGCTCATCTGCCAAGCAATCCTTGTCCCAATTGCTGTTGTAAAATGAGGACTCTCTGTTCCGGTGACAAAGCCTTCATTGGATGCTGCTAAACATTTACTTTCACTATGGAAGGTAAAAACATAAATATCATGGGTTTGTTTTTTATTGATATTCCACCTTTATTTTTTGTTAATTTAAGTTGGTGAGCCTAGGGCTCCCTTATCCCACCACCATAACAACCCTGCAAGGTAAGTAACAGAGACTGACTAGGTCACAGTTACCCACCCTGTTTCCATGCCTAAGGGAAAACTAGAACTCACAGTCTTCCAGCACTTTAGTCACCACAGCAAACTTACTCTTATGCTCAGTTTTTGTTAAAGGTGACAGTAGCACACAGGATTATTTGATTATGCACAGGTAGAGGTCAGCCACCATCCCCTATAAAGTGCCTTCCAAAAGATAATGGGAACTGAAGTCAAGCACATCTGGAGGATACCAAGTTCAGAAACACACAAAAGAAACGTTAAGTGATACATTTTAAGGCAAAGACTGTATTACTATAGAGAAGATATGAAAAGTAGAATGTGTTCTATTCACTTTTTAATTGCCTCATTTCTCCCTCCTCTCCAGACCGACAAGATCTGGAACAACCAGACCGAGTGGATCAATTGCAAGAACCATTGTTGGAAGCCCTGAAAATTTATGTGAGGAAGAGGAGACCTAGTAAACCCCATATGTTCCCCAAAATGCTGATGAAGATTACAGATCTACGGAGTATCAGTGCAAAAGGTAAGGGCAGAGTTTCAGACCCTGCAAAAAAAAGTTTTCTCCTTTCTTAGATCTGTAAGGAGCAGAGGTTTAAAAAATGAATTCCATTCTGGGTCTGGGCAACAAATGAATTCCATTCTGGGTCTGGGCAACAAATAATTAGCTACCGGTTCTGCCGAAGTGATGCGAACCGGCTGAATCCCATCTCTGGTCATGTTCAAAATTGAAAAGTAATTCTGGGAATACAGTGAGCCTTCCTCACTATATACTGCACTTTTGAATGTTTTTGAAAGTAAACTATATTAATTACTGCTTGCACCCTCAGTATATTCTCTTAGCTTACTTAGAAAATGCTCTGGTTATGTTTTGTATTGGTAAATCAGCTGTCTTCCCTCCCGCAGGTGCTGAAAGAGTGATAACTTTGAAAATGGAGATTCCTGGATCAATGCCACCCCTCATCCAGGAAATGCTGGAGAACTCTGAAGGCATGGACTCTTTGGGGGGCTCAACAGGAGCTCCTTCCCGTATCAGTAGCTTAGCTCCACCTCCAGGCAGCTGCAGCCCTAGCCTCTCGCCCAGCTCCAACAGAAGCAGTCCTGCCACACATTCACCCTGACCATGCTGGACCCCTGAACTAGTTGCTTGATCCCCCCCTCTGCGCACATTGGTCTTTTGCTTCCTGGGTCTGCCTGGACACACGTCTCAGGAGGAGCAGAGGTGGGGTGAAGGCGAAACAGTGGGACAGACTGCCGCGGCAGGCATTCTTCTCCTCCCTCTCTGTACCACATCAGTCCTGCTCAGACCCAAGAGGGAAAGCTTCTTATGTTCTCCTGTACCAGCACACTATTTCTCACTTAGCTGTTCAAACAGGGTTCTGCTTGCAAGGGAGGCCCCTGTTCTCATGGAGGGAGGCCCAGACCTTCTCTGAAAGCAGATCAGCAAGTAGATCTGAAGAACGGCTGCTCAAAATTAGGAGCAAGATTTTTTTTTTAAAAAAAGAAACTAGTTACAGAAAAAAAACCTTCTCTGTGGCACGCATCCCCCCCCCCCCACTCTCTTCAGTCTTGTCATGCACACGTACATGCCTCCACAAAGGTGTTGCTTGCTTCTTGTTGCAGTGAAAATGAAGTAGTGGGTTTTTTTTCCAGTTGAGTTTGCATTTCAGATATTTCGGGGAAAGGGTATAATGTTGTTTTTTTTTAATTGCTCAAACCTTCTCTTCATCCTCAATTTGACCATGCAATCTTACCTCTTTTCTTGCCTCCTTCTACTTCTTGTCCACTCACATATTCCTAAAAATGTCACCAGCAATTTTTTTTAAAAAAAGAAACATTAGTTCCTCAGTTTCTTTTTTTAAAGTACAGTACAACATGGAGGGAAGGATTCATTTAAGAAAGAATATCTGTTATATATACAAATATCTATAAATATATATAAATACATTTGAAAAAAAAACTTTGTACAAGTTTGGAATTTGAAGAGTTTCTAAAAAGAGGGTGGCAAGGAAAAGGCCAGAAAAGCCAAACCAAACCATGGAAATTCATGTATGGGGTTGGACACGCTTCTCATTATAGATTCAAAACTATTATCTAACCAGAGTTACGTACTTGAATTTGGTAGCCACTCTTCTACAAACACTATGCCAGGAATGACCGAGATACCTGGCATTGGTAAGTAATAATCAGCTCATGCACAATTGCTCATGAATTCTGCTCAGTTTAAATAGCCAGAAATGCACAATGGGGGAAAAGTTAGCACTGCATTCAAAACTGAATTCTTGGCTGGTCTCTTATTTAACAATACAGAGTCTGCAGAGCAAGGCATATTTAAAAAAAACAACCACAAGCCGCTGTTCTAATTTGCTTTGGTCCTATTTTCAGGGAGAGCTAATTAAAAGCAATAGGACAACATTCCTTGCTGCCAGAATTTCCTGGAGTGTGTTTAAGTTTCAGTGTTTCCTGCAACTGTAACTAATAATGAGTTAAAGATACTTAATTTTGGCTAGTCGTGTACTTACTGGCTGCTTTTATTTGCAATATATTTTGTTTGGATCACATGGATACAAAGCCGAAATCTCACCATTCTCTTTTTTATTACTATTTTGGCAAATGAAAAATTGAGAAATGAGGGGGTTCTGAGCATTGTGATAAAAGTATTGTTTTGAGCAAAATGCTTTGTTTTCTAAAGGTGTGTCTCTCTGTGTGTGTGCGTGTGTGTGCGTGTGTCAAAAACACCTACATTGTTACATGTTCTTACTAACAAAAAGCCAATTTCCCCCTCTTCCTCAACTCTTAATTCTTATTATAAAATACTTTTGAAAGGGCAACCCTTAATTTTGTAAGGCACAGAATTTTATCAGGAGAAACATCTTACTTTTTTTTTTCTTCACTCCACTGCCCTTTGTTTACTTTACTGGTTTCTGGGTTGAATAATTTGAATCTTCTTTTGGAGGAGAAAGATTAAGGGCTGGGGTCTAAAGAGTTAATGTTAGAAGCTTTGTGGTGGGTGAAGGGTTTCTTTTCTATAACAACTCACACAATCTGAATTGCCCTATCACCAAATAACTTGTGTCATGTGGACCAAGAGTTTGGGGAAGGATTGCTTTTCAAAGAGAACAAGGCAGGTGGACAATCACTGTAGTCCAGGGGTAGTCAACCTTGGCTCTTTTATGACTCGTGGACTTCAACTCCCAGAATTCCTGAGCCAGCTAAGCTGGCTCAGGAATTCTGGGAATTGAAGTCCACGAGTCATAAAAGAGCCAAGGTTGACTACCCCTGCTGTAGTCCCTGAACATAATAGGACTGTCTTCTAAGTTTCATGCATAACATGACACCACTAGACTTCCTCCCTATGCCTATTTATCTGGAAATAAGGATTGTTCTCTAACTGTACAATCCTGCTTGTGTTTATGCAGAAGTAAATCAGCGAGGCTTAGTTCCAAGGCCATGGAAATAGAAATGAGGTCCTTCAAAATCTTGCCCCATTAGGTTCAAAACAACTTATATGGGTGGATTCCTGATTTATCTATAGAGTATACAGAATGCTTTAAAGATATAGCCAGCTCTAAATCTCTTTAGGGCAGACTGAGGGGATTTCCAGCATGATTTATTCTTGCTTCTTTCTTTGTGTTGATATTTGAGTGTCGTAGAATATGTAACATAACATTTAAACAGAGTTATGGAGGGTTAGGTAGCAACAAGATTTTTATTCTCACAGAAGCTCCTCCCTCAGGTTGTAAGGCATGTGCTCCACACTTCTCAGATATGTATATAAAGCTGTTATTTCATATAAAAAGATCCTGGTGAGTTTAAATTGTTGAATTAGATGGGGATGGGCTGATGAGATGTCTTATCTCTTTCCCTTAAAGTTAAAGAAATGACTATCTCATGTAAATGAATTACCTTATTCTCAGCCCTATTGCATTAGTGATCAGCAATTTATTGAAGGGTTAAGTCAACAGGGGTTAGCCATGGTAATCCAATGCACCTTTCACATGGCAAGATACTATACTTTTAAATATTAGGTGCCAAGGAGTAACAATAAAGGAAACCTCTGTGTGTTACAATTATTTTTGAAATTTCAGAAATATTTTGCTGGTTGCCCTGAAAATAGAACTAGACCAATGATAAGGTAAATCCACATCTTAGTTCTTATTACACCAATGTACAGTATTGTCTATAACCTTGCACATAGCAAAGGATGCATCTATAAGGACACTTAAGGTGGAATTTCGATGACACAGTGAGCTTTGTTTAGTAACCGTTTACTAAATGAACTACAACTACCCAATTTTATGTTTTTGGTAGTAGAGGCAGAACTACTCTGCATGGCAACTCAGTGCTGTCCAATCAAAGTGGAGAAACATGACCATATTTAATCTATCATTAATGTATGGATTAGTTATAAAAACCATATATTAACATTAATGTATGGATTATGAAAACCATGTAGTACAGAAGTTTGGATGGCCTTTTCAGATGAGTTTGCCAGTATCGTTCTGGGCTGAGAATAATAAATAGGTTTAAAAGTAAATAATTACCTATACTCTTTCCAAATCTATGACCTATGTTAAAATAACCCCACAAAATATTGGACTAGAAAGATTCTTTAAAAATTCTCTCATTTAGAGTTGTGTGAAATCCTTAAAGTCATATTGAAGCATTCTAATAGGAAACCAGCTGCTTAACGTTGTAATTCTTTTGAGCATCTCTTTGATGAAATTGAAATGTTAGGGGGATGAAGAAGTTTAGGTTCATAAAGCCCCTTTCTTCAAGTTGCTGCCATCCAGTTATATGTTGGACTACAATCTTCCAACATATAGATACTAATAGCATTTGAAAAACACCTTGAGAGAAAAACCAGTTTTCCTCATGCTTTTGTTTTAGAGAATATGACATTTGAGAAGGCGGAAGGTAATCCTCTGTCCCCAATTCATGGGAACAAAATGCATCTTTTTACTAGCAAAATGCACTATTTGTGGTTGAACATCTGACTTGCAAAGCTCCTAAAGAAGTGTGATGGTGCTTTTGAATCTTTCGTAAAACTCTCATCCTGTAGAGAGATGATTGGCCAACAGCTTTATTCCAATACTCCACTAGAACATTTTAAGAATAGTGCAGCCAGAAATTCTACAAGATACATTTTCTCTTGTCTAAAGAAAATGGAATGAAGAAAGAAAAATAGAAATGTCCATTTTATAGTTACCAATAATCTCCTGGTATCCCAAAATTGTGATTGGAAAAATAAGCTAAAATACTTGTTGGGTATACTTCACATTATTTCACACTCAGAAAATATACTATATTTGTTTGATCATTGACATTTCTCAAATGATGAGATTACGTTTGTTCCTGGAGTTTTCTTCTGTTACAGGCAGTGGCATTTTGTTCTCCTTCCATTAGTGTTTCTCTTAAAACCTATTAAAGATTGGAGGTTGACAATCTGAGTAGCATTTTGTTGCACAGAGTCATGACAACAACCCTAATATGGATCAGTTGTCATGTGGGATAAATCACCTCTTGTGCTTCTGTGCTTTTACATTTGTTTATACAAGACAGACAGGTTTGATGGATCAGGCTTACGAGGCTGCCCCCCTTTAATGTAAGGATGAACAATCTCTTTTTGTTAGGATCTTGCTTATGATGTATTAATGTTGAATGGACTCAGAAGAATCACAGGATTTAAAGTAATCCAATCACATGATTCAAGTAGATGGAGTTGGAAAATTTTGTCCCTTTCTATTTTCTTTTTGGTGATGGGATTTATTGCTGAATTTAGCCTTTTGTGAGGTTTGTCACCCCTTATCAGTTATACAATATTATGGGGTGGGCATAGTGACCTAAGAGATATAGAGGCTACTCAACCTTGTTTTAATGATGCCAGCATCTAGAATCAAGTCCAGGAAAGATTGGAGTTGCTTTTTCACCTGTTCAGCAGTGGACATAGAAATGAGGCTAATGGCATTTTGTTATTTAATCAAAATGGAATAATTACAGCTCTGGAAATGAAGTTCAGTCCTTCCTTTAAAAACTGCAACTCTTAGCTCTGGAAAACATACTTTGTAAAAATGAAATAAGGTGTCAATACCTCTTTTGAAGTGGAGGTGACAAATATGGAGGCTGGCTGAGTACGTGGCGGGGAAGGGAAGAATAATTTCTACATTGTGCTGCAGTACGATAGTAACTATATCAAATACTTGTGTCAACTTTCATTTATGAAATTTCATCTGATTTCAACCTGTATAAGTGTTTTTTGCTTCAGCTGTTTTAAAGCCAAAACTTTGCTTCTGAAGACTCAGGTATATTTGGTACACAACAGTGTAACATGGCTATAATTGCCGCTCATTAACCAAGCTTCTTTGCCAAGTACTGTGAGAAGGTAAATTACCAAGTATGCAACATCTCATTTATGCACAATGCTCCTTCCCTCAATATAGGACCCATAGGTAAACAAGTTTAATATTGAGACTACAAATGTAACAGAATATAGGCTAGAGTGTATTAGAGTGTCTTGAATAAGCCTATTCCACAAAGACAATATTTTTCTCCCCCCATCAGTTTAAAAATTCGTATCCTGGTCACTATTTCAAAATTTCATTGGCTTGGTCCAAACTGATTCTATTCTGTAACATCCTCCCTCTCTCTCTGTACAAAGGGAAAGATGGGGGAAACAACAGACTTGACAAATGCTAGTTTCCTGTTGAAGGTCAGAGTGAAACTGTCAATGGCACCCCTGCTGCTTTGCCAGGCTAGTGAGGAAATTGCAAAGCTGTGAGGCCAGCATTTCCATTTCAGGACCTGAAGCTTGAGCTTTTCCAGCTGAAAAGAACTTTCAAAGCAGGTTATTTTGCACTGCAGCTGAGCCAGATGTACATCATTTCTGGAGGCATAAAGAAGACAAAAGCATGGGATTACTGTACACAAATGTGGAATCATTCCAAGAATGACGAGAACACCCCTTGTGCAAGTCCCAAAATGATGAACAATAGCCAAAGATGGGGAGGGCTTTAAAATCAAAGAAATGTAAAGAGAATTATGGGAATGGTTGTGATAAACTGCTTCTGAAATAAAGAGAGAATTTGAACTGGAGAATAACTTTCTGATGAGGGAATGTGATGAACCTTACATTTGCTTTAAGAGAGAATGGTATTTGAGTTCTTTATGTCTGGAAGCCTTGACTCAGTATTTTACCAAGAAGACAGAGCAAAAGACTCCCAGAAGCAGTTGACATACACAAGCCTTTTGGCGACATCAAAGCCAGTCTGAATTTTCATAAATGGAATTATTCAGAAGTCACTTTAATTAATCTGGAGTACTGATAGTTGCACCACCAACTTTCTTCTTATACATCGTGCAGCCTTTAGACAAGCAAATAGGGATAGCAAATGGATATTTCCCAGTAGCTTAGCAGAAGGAAAAGGATGGCCAGAGAAACAGAAAAGTCATCTGAATAGCTGCTGATGGCGGAATGCGACAACTCACTGTGGCCAACTTGCTCCGGCCAACTCACAATAGCCAACTTGCTGCAGACAACTCACTGCAGCCAACTCATCATAGGATGATGAAGGACAACTTGCCATGGGGCAACTTAACAGTTCAATTTAATTATTTAAAATGAAAAAAAATAAATTTTGTCATTCACATTTTATTTTGTCCCTGTTGCTGCATCCCT